CTCCCTCCGTCTCTCTAAACCACCCTGTACTCCAGAATCTGGCTTTCATTCTCAACGTTAATAGAACCGACCGGGAAGTCTGGGAATTTTAGAGTAACTCCAAGAATTCCACGACAAATGTTTGATTGCTTTCCATCACTTATAGCAACAACACCACATGTAATAAAACTTCTTCGCGTGGCTCTAGCTACAACATTATCCCATAAATTTGGAGACGATGTACACAGTCTGAGAATGAAAATCTGATTTAAACAACAGAAGGTTTTAGGATTTTGTAACCTTTAAAACAAGGAAACGTAAAATAAAGAAGAGATATTTAAGACACACTAAGCAAATTTGTGACACCTATCCTCTTAAAAGTAACGTTTCTTATGCATTGATGATTCCACAAAAAAACTTTAACATCCATGGAAACTTTCCATTGCACAAAAAGTTCTTTATAGTGGAATAAGATTCTTCAGATTATTAAAATATTCTTCACACTAAGAAAAAATGGTTCTTTTAAGAACTGCTCAGTGAAAGGTTCTTTAGGGAACTCAAAATGGTTATTCTATTATATTGCTACAAACCCCCTTTTTTGAACCTTTAGTTTTAAAAGTGTAGAAGCCCTGACTTTTTTGTGGCTCTAGCTGCAACATTGTACCAGGTGACAGTGTATGATGGTGGGGTCTAAAATCTGAGAATGCAAAATCTATTATTCAAAACCTGAAAATGAGCAAAGTTTTTGGATTTTTTTAACAAGGAAACACCATGACGTAAAATAAAGTTTGTGATAGCTACATTCTTAAAAATACAGTTTCTTTATTGGCAGGATACCCTTATGAAAAAGAAGTTTATTCAAGTGTGCTATTAGTATACTTCTTTTAAACTAAAAATAGGAAAGTATACTTTTAGTCTACTTTTTATGTACTTCTCAGAAATGGGCTTTATGTACTTCTCAGAAATATACTTAAAATGACATTTAAGTATACTTGACTTGTACTTAGAAAAAGTCTAAATATATTTGAGCTATACTTGTGTTCCTAGAATCCGTGTTTTCATTGTTATACTGTAGGGGGCGCTAGTACACATCTTCTGTACAGAATTTCCAAAAAACACAAGTGAAGAAGAAACCGAAACAACAGATGCTTCCACATGTATTCTAACACGATCATCAGACATAAAGCGGTATCAAAACTATGTAACATTATGGAATAAAATGTCGACCAATAAAGAGGTAATAATAACTGTCAAGATTTGGGGTGTTGATCGACTTTATCTATGTTTTGATTATCAGTCTGAATCCAATTCATAGTCTTTTTTCAGCTTTTTGTTCAAAATGTTGTTTATTTCTTTATTTTTTTATTTATGAAACTTATCCACATTCAAGTGTTTAAAAAAAGAATGCATGAAGCTAGAATAAAATGTTTTTGTTTACAAGCAGATACCCTGTTCTTTTTATGTTTTGCATATTCAGATATTCATGTAACAAAATATATTCAAATTAATACCTAAATAGGGACATAGTAGTATACTTCAAGTATGATGTAAAGTTCACTTAAAAAAAACTTACGAGTATACTTGCAGTATAAAACTACTAAACTAGTAGTTTACTGAGACTATACTTCAAAGTGTACTAAAAATGCTACTACAAGTATTTAATTAGTAAACTATCAGTATACCTATAAGTTCACTTTTAGTATAGTTACAGTACAAACTAAACATTTTGATGTAAACTAGTTGTGTACTCAAAGTTTACTACAGGTATACTTAAAGTATACTTAAAAGTATACTTTTACATACTAGAAAGTGGGCCAATTTAGTCCCAAGGAGTATTGAAATAGTACACTTACAAGTATACTACTAGTACACTGATATTTGTATACTTAGTACATAAAGTATACTTAAAATATACTTGAACTTTACTTTAGTATACTTACTAAAATAAACTTGAAGTATACTACTTTTTGGTAAGGGTAGTTCCACAAAAGATTCTTTATATTGGAAAAGGGTTCTTTAGAATGAATTAGGTTCTTTTAGAATATTCTTGACACTACAAAAAAAAGGTACTTTCAAGAAAGGTTCTTTGAAGAACCCAAAATGGTTCTTCTATTACATCGCTGCAAAAACTCCCTTTTAGAGCCTTTATTTTAAATAGTGCAGAAGCCTAGATTACTTTTTTTTTTTTGCACAGACAGACTGAAAGTACGCCTCTATTGTCAGTGCAAAGAGAAAAATCCCTCCTATAAAGCCTGATAGTTTTGTTATGGTCTCTGTCTGCAGCCTTTATGAGATTGTGAACGCTACCACATGCTTGCACAGCCGTCTCAGTAGGTTACACTGCAAACTCTCAAGATTTGTAGCGTACGCTAGATAGAGACATGAAAAATGACACAGGTGCAAAATTAGTCAAAACAAGGTGGTGTTACGTTTGAGTGAACGTCTATCTGAGCATAGAGCCCTGACTTCCTCTGTTTGACAATAACTGAAGGTTGCTAATTGATCTTCAATTACAATTTAAGCTTTGTGTTGTATAGGAACATTAACTGAACATTGGACAGAGACTTTGATGGAGAAAAAAAAAACTTTGATGGTATTTATTATAGGAACATATGTCATATGACCAAGTCAGCCATTAGATTTTATAGCTTATGGTGAACTTGTTTTTAAGTTCTGGTGGTTCAAATCATATAAAAGTCTGTGATACAATGACATAAATCAGTCTAAACATAAGGTATGTTCAGTAGCTGGTCCAAACCTCGAACTTTAGTTTTCACTGCCTGACTCAAGATTTCATTCTGTGCACGATTTTAGTTTCACCTTCAATGCTGGTACAATGCTGACAGCTAGTGGGAAAAAGTGTGCCATTGCAGGTTGCCCTATATTTTAAGATCCACAAAAGTACCAGTTTGAGGGTTTGACCATGGGGAAAAAAAACCCTCACCAGATAATCAGATGAGGTTTGTTTACAGTATTTCATGTTCGGTTTTAGATATAGAGGCAATATTGGGTAATAGTCATTGTTCTTGAGATTTACTTCCGTATATGTAATATAACCTACAATAAAAAAATGAAAAAAATCCCAGGGTTTATCACATGATTTCCCAGAGATGTTGTTCGAGCCTTGGAATCTACTTTCGCTTTTTGTTTATACAGTGGCCCCAAATGTATTTAGACACTTAAGCCACAATCAAACATAGATTAATGTCATTACATTAGATATAAGATATAAAACAATTGGCAAGTTCACATAGGTGTCCTGTAGGGTAGCAGCCATATAATATAATGCTATAGTGGGGTAACCACAAGTATAGTTCATCAAATCAGTTATGGACATGTTAAGTTTAGTTTAGCCACTAAGAAACTTGTGCTCTTGTGCTATTTTTCCTTAACATGAATGTCAGTTTTTATGCAATTTATGCATGATTTATCTGATGCAATCAGATCTTTTTTGACTCACTGTATGCTAATTATTTATAAGAAGACTAAGTATAATTTGCAAAGATGACAAGTCATCTGAAATGTGCCCAGACTGGTAAATCTGCTTTGGTTTCATTCAAATGCACAAACAAATGAATGCATTGGGAAACATCCTTCATGTTTGAACTTAAAGTGAAAGCACTTTCAAAGCAAACAGGACAAAAAGTGCATAAAGTAGAGTTTTATATTTTTTCCAGCAGTTTAATACATTGGATTACAGATCTACACAAAGCACAGTGTCATAATATTGTGCTTAGTATCCATAGAGACTGAGATGAAGAATGTTGTGGCAGGGAATCTGGCATCCAGGCCAAGCCACAATTCATATAGCTTTAACGTTCCTATGGCTGATGCTTTATTTAGCTCTTTGTGTTTTTACCTGGCTTTTACCACACTTTGCACCCCAAAAATAAACTGTTATTAATTGTTTTTGTTTATGTTGTCATGATGTCCACTGGTATGGAAACAAATTTCACACAGAAATTGCTAGGAAATGTCACAAATAATTAGAAACAAACTGCAAGTAACACATTAAATTAATGTGAAATTTTGAAGTAGAAAGACTGAATTTGTATTTTCTTGTAATCCAGTGCTGTAGTAATCTTTGTTTGAAAAATATTTTTACAGTGTATTGGGGAAAAGGCATCTGGAGCCCTTTGGAACATTAAAAGATATAGTTAAGTGATACAGTATATATTTTAATGTTCCAAGTGTTCCTACTTTTAGTCTCGTTTGCTATATCTATGATGATTTCTATACTATGCAGTTAATTTAAATAGTCCTGTGGTGTGAGAAATGTATTTTTAAAACTACGAATATATATATTAAAGTTAAAATGTTGCGAGTATAGCATGTCACACTGCTATTTAACACAGTCCACTACTGCTAAAATAAATTTGCCATATATTTGTCCCTTTGCAAATTACATTACCTAATCTTTACTATTATGATAACAATTTACAATAATGTTCCATTTCCATTTGTTAACATTAGGTAACTACATTTGTTAACCTGAACTAACAATGAAAGATAATTGTAATGCATATATTAATCGTAGTTAATATTAATTTCAACATTTACTTGTGCATTAAAAGTTAATATCTGTTAACATTATTTAATGGACCTGAGCTGACATGAACTAACAGTTGTATTTTTATTAACTAATGTTTAAAAAGATGAATAAATACTGTAACAAATGTATTGCTCGTTATGTTAGTTAATGCATTAACTAATGTTAACTGATGGGACCTTATGGTAAAGTGTTACCACTATTATAAATATTGTTTTTCAATGCTTCTGGCGATGTCAATTTGCATAATGGTGGATTGGTTATGTTTATGAGAACAAAGAAGAGGGAGGAGTCTTATTATTGTTTAGGTAATTTAGGGTATTTCCAAAGGGATTGTTTTCCACCAGACCGATGCCACAGTCTGCATAACCTCCCTATATCAAATCCACCTAGTAACAACTTGTAGCAATTTTGCTATTGGCTGCCTGTTATTTTGGAGGCTGTGCTGGTGTCGGTGGGGACAGTGCATTTAAGGTTACTGGTCGTTTACTTTCGATATTAACTGCATTGGACCTGAGAGCCGAAGCATACTCTTCTTAAAACTCTGGACTAAATCACCAAAAATGAGAGCACTCATCACTTTTGCCCTGTTCTGTGTGCTGTACGTCACTGTACAAGGGAAAACATGTAAGTAATTCATAATGAATATGTAAATACTGTATTGTTTGTTTATTGTGTTACTCTGTTGATTATTTCTGATATGTATGAGAAGTTTCCCTCGGGAATTATCTAAGTAACGTTACATAGATTTAAGTGCTAGCCTGTGTCTGTATCTATAGTAAAGTGATTTAATCAATATTTTTAAGGGTTGTTTCCTAGCATAAATTTGAAATAGTTTAAAAACAGTGCGTCATGCCACTTAAAGTAGTTTAATTTGTATTTAGAACCAAAGTTAGGTCTTACTGTAATTGAAAAGCCACAGTTTAAACATATTAATAGTCTTTATTTTATGGGCTTACAACTACAGTGACTATCATTAAGAAATATAATAAATCATCATTTGTATGTTACCTGCTGCTAAACACATTGTTTTTCTTTTTTATTAATTGCATAATCGGTTTTTCTGCGTGTGAGTGAGGAATTCTGATGCTATTTGTCTTTTGTTCGGGAAAATTCATGAATCGGAAAACATTTCCCTCCCAGTTTCCTTTGTCTAGAGTCAAAAAGGATGAAATACATTTTTATTTGGTGTTTTTTGTTATGTTTATCATATTTTAAATGTGTGTTACGATAATATTTATTTCCATGTTATCTTTGTAAACCAATATTTTAAATTCTATACTTTCAGCCAGCCCCAAGGTCCAGGTGTACAGCCATTTTCCTGGAGAGTATGGAAAGGAGAACACCCTAATCTGCCATGTCAGTGGCTTCCACCCTCCTGATATCACCATTGAACTGCTGAAGGATGGCGAGATTCTCCCAAATACCCAGCAGACTGACCTGGCCTTCGAAAAGGGCTGGCAGTTTCACCTTACCAAGAGTGTCACTTTCAAACCAGAGAGAGGACAGAACTACGCCTGCAGTGTTCGACACATGGGCAATAAAAATGTCTACTCTTGGGGTGAGTGCAATGTGTGTGTTTCTAGAAGATACCTTGTGGTTTGACACGGCATGTTTATTGAACATCTCATGACTTTCCGCAGAGTCCAACATGTAAAGCTAAAACAGTCAAAGGCGGAGAAAGGACGGTAAGTGTTACCTTGTTTATTATTAATGGAAAAATATAGCCAAATACAAAAAATGTTTTTCTACCATTAAAATGTGGCATTTCAGAATTGTAAAGATGAATAAATGTGTTTTTTTCTTTCTTTTTTTTTAGGATAATTTCACATGTTTTGGACTTTTTCTATCATCTACAGAAACAAAAAAATCCTGCTATTCAATATTACAAACCTGATGTTGCTCAAGAAGCACTATTCATACAGCAATTCCGCAATTCATCGATTTTAGCTTTTTCTTGAGTTACCATCTTTTTCTTCATGAGTGTAAGGATCATTTAACCAAAATAGCTGCTACATGTTTTTGAATAAGTTTTGATCAGTTTCCGGGTTCTTATACTGTTTCATTCCTCTCTGTGTAACTTCTGTGTAGTTTTCAATAGTGGGCAATATCTCTGCCTATTTTGGGGCTTTATTTTGTAATTAAATACAAATTTCACAATCAATTTTCTCTTTAAAACAAATAAGACTATTGCAAACTGGGTATTTAATTAATATGGATAATTCAAATTTGACACCTTTCAGAGAAATGTCATTCTAAGTGTCGAAAATAAAGTTTAGAAAACCTAATGGAACAGTTGTGTTTATTTGCTTCAAATAGTCTGTACTAATGCCTTTACTTTGAAGTTAAATCAACTTTATAGTGAGTTTCAGTTATTTGCCTAACCTAAAACATAAATGTCTGCCTAGCAACTGAGCAACTAAGGTGGTGATTGGATAAAAAAAAAACAGGCGACAAGTAGAGTTTCGCTTTTCTAAGAGGCTATTAAAAAGGTAAAATCCTCGAATTTTGCGTTATGTGGCGTTTTTTCCTTTTAGTATATTTCTTTTATGGCCTGAAGTACCAGAAAATATAAGCAGTTTGTTTCGCGCGCCATTGCCCAGTCTGCCGCGCGCTGAGATAAAGTCACATGACTTCCCGAAAAACCTGTGACGGTGACACGCCTCTGATCATCAAGCGCACAAGAGCACAATCTCTGGCGCAACTGACATCAAGGGGTCATATTAATAACACAGATAATGCAACCATGAAGCTGAAATACCGTGAATCATACTGCTGAAAATCACCAGCTTTTGTAATTTTAGAGACATTTTGTAAATAAATATATGTGTTTAATATCTGAGTGAATTAACCTTTATTGATGCACAGCTGTAGATTGTGTGAATGCGCAGTATTCAAAATTAAAATGTATTTGTTTAGAGAATAGGGCGATCATCTACAGTTTGTCAAGCTAAAATATTCATTACATTTTTGTGTCATTGTCTGACTAAAAAAGTATATTAAGACTGATAGTGACATTTTTAACAATTTCTGTTTAATTTATATTTTTATTTCCACTGGCCCTTTTAGATAAGCTACTAGCCTAATTATTTTTTCACTAATTCTTTGCATTGAAGTCTTCACTATTGCACATTGTAGAGCTGTAAATGAACTTTATCTCTGATTACAGTGAGAAGGATTGCCAGACCCTTAAAACATCTTTTACAGTTTACAGAGAATTGTCAATCACATATCAACTGTATCAATGTCGATACAACTGTATCATTGTATCAGAAGTCTCTTCACATATCAATTGCTTTTTTAGATTTTATGTTTACTTGTATGTATACGTAATAATATGTATATTTTATTATTGCCTTTTATTTTACTATCCATTGTTATATATTAAATTAATAATAAAAATGTATAATAAAATAGTTATTAAATAGGTTATTACCTTAGTAATAAATCATTATTTATTAATAAATAAATAATAATTATTATTAAGTATATAATGTATTAATTTGCTAAATTAATAGCTGGATTGTGTGTGTGTGTGTACCTACTTAACCATATTTTGGGGACAATTTTGTACCCAAAAGTGAGCAAAACCTGACAAAATCGCCAAAAACCTCCGTTTGGGGACGTCCTCATTTGTAAAACTGGTATACAAATAAAGTAAACAGTTTTTTTTTAATTGTAAAAATGCAGAAAGTTTTCTGTGAGGGTTAGGGGTAGGGGTGGGTTTAGGTTAAAAAGTGTATAACTATATGTATATAAAAACAATAGAAGTCTATGTTATGTCCCCATTTAGATGGCTAAGTAAACGTGTGTGTGTGTTGTTTTGTTTTGTTCTGTTGTATGGGCTGCAACCTTTCTCATACGAGCAAATACTCTGTTGAGGGTATTAGCCAAATTATTAAGAGGAAGTAGGTGGGATTTGGGAATTTCCGTGTTGTAGCAAGAGTTATCAACACAAGAGAGCACTGTAGAGTCATCAGTTCGAGAGGAATGAACCATATAAATCTAGTCCAACTTCACACACCTGTGTCGTCAAGACTAGCGAAACATGTCAGGTAAAATAGACACGTCGACGTTGCTCTTCGACGTCCCGCCGGTGCTGATGGGGTCTTTCTGTAGACTGATTGACAGCGGGGTCGACGGTCTGGGATGGAGAGCTTTAGGTAAAAAAACAAAACGCACTTTACCATGATAACTTTGTACGACCGTTACCTGTTAAGTATGAGGCTCAGCTGTGACTGTCTTATCAATTTCTCTATATTTATTTTCGTTGGGAATGTGTCAAACTTAAATAGCCGCCGGAAAATGTTGTTCAAGCTTGTTTTTTTTTGTTGTTTTTTTTACATTGTAGTAATTAGCTGGTCCTGCCAGTACAATATGTTCATTAGTTGGTCCAGACTAGTAATTATCTGGTCCAAGATGGTCTACCACCAACAAACCAGCTTCTAGTTTGTTAAGTACACCAAAGGTTGGTTTTCAGAACATTGGTTAACAAACTAATGATCAGCTTGGACCAGCTAGAAATCCAGGCAGCTTAAGATGGATTTATTATTATTATTATTATTTTATTTTATTTTTTCTCTGTATTGGATCTTATGAGAAACATCGGATATTCATCCCCGTCTGATTCATTACAGCTACTCACATCCTTCCCAGTCAGCTGGAAGTGAGATGTACTGAAATGTATGTGGCTGCTGGGAAAAGTCCGACACAAGAGCTCATGTGGTTGTGGGCCCAGCAGAATAAAACAGTAGGAGATCTTTTGAAGGTTCTGGATGAGATGGGTCACACTCGAGCCAGGAGTCTTTTCCAATCGCAAGGTAACATCTTCATCTTAATCATAAGACTACTACAGTTATTGTAGTCTACAGTGGACAATCATTTACTTAAGAAAAATCATTTGAAATGGCAAAAAAAATGTATAGTATAATTTATAGTTTTATTAGCGATAATGTTAAGTAACTAATATATTGGCGAGATTGTTACATTTTACTGCCTACACAGCTTCCTCTTTTAAGTCATAGAAGCTTTCTATAGTATATAGCATTATTATAGTTGTAATATATATTTTATTTTAAAGAGGAACCTGTTAAACATAAATATGAAGTGAACTGTAAAGCGAAGCAAAACAAAACATGCGATTTAAATAACCACAGCGGTGCATGTAAACCACACTGCAATTCTAACAATCATATCACCCACAAAACCGCAATCCATCAAAAGACAACATATAATGGAACTGCTAGTGATGTTGCTTTGAAGGCACTGTATAACAAACCGTAACCAAACATATTTTATTTTTTTCTAGACTCATGCAAACTGAAGTCATCCTCACCCCCTCTCTTTGCCACGGTAATGTCTTTTTTGCTGCTGTTATCAACCTGCAGATTTTTAAAGCAGATGCTGGTCAGATGCTTGACTTTATTCTGGTTTAGGTGTGTTAGAAAGCAAGAAGAATGTGCACTTGCAAACTGAGCAGTTTTGTTTTTGCTTATTTAGTCGCATTATGTTTATATATTATGTTTTCACATTTCAACTCTATCTGTATTTTTCATTTTCCAATCAGTATCTGCCAAACACTGAGAAGTCCTGTCAAATTTCAGCTCTTTATCCAGAGTCTGTGTCTGTTAAAGGTAATTCGTACAAGCGCATTTAAAATCAACCTTCATTGTCTTTGTGTCAGTTGGCATTATTGTACATGTAGCTGTAATTCAGTACTAACCATATCTTTCTTTGTAGATATTAGGTAGAAAGTTTCATTTCTGTTTTGAGTGGTTTCATAAGGATTTGAGATTAAACCTTTTTTGTCCATTTCAGGTGAAAAACAGAAGTATTTCATCACATATTCTGACGTCATAGAGGGAACGAGACATTTCCACCAGGACTTAAAAATAGGATCGAGCGTGTGCGTCGAGGTCTACTGCGGAAAATGGGGAAACAGGTCTTTTGTGGTGAAAGTTTTCAAACAGGTCATAATCTATTAATATCTCAAACTATTCTTCAAATCATCTTTTACAAATTGTGTACAGAGCAAGTATCGGCCTAGTGTTAATTTTCACACACCAGTTGGTTTTTTGTTGTTGTTGTTTTTTAGTATTTGTATTTGTATCTGATTACATTTAGTCCACAAGAAAAAAAATTGCTAAAATTATTGGGGATTATTTTAATAATATGAGCTATTTTTTTCTTGTGGACTAAATGTAAACATCTTTTATGTAAAATATCTTACTCAGGACAGTACTAAAAAATAACATGCATTTTGTATGATCTCTCTTATTTTGTTAAAATTACTCACATTTTCACAGATTCTGCAAGGGGTTCCCAAACGTTTGCATGCCACTGTATTATTATTATTATTATTATTATTATTATTACATTAATCTGCCATTCTATTATCGTGTGTTCTTTTCTGGCAATTGTTCTATTTGAAATTAATAATAAAATAATATAATAAAAAATACAAGACAATAATAATAATGTACTAATCATTTTGTGAATTGCTGGAAATTATTTTACTATTTTTAAATTTAAATAATTAAATTGTATTTGAATTATTTTAACAGATCTTTTGCTGTGAAAGTTTTTCAACAGGTCCGAACTAATTAATATCTGATTTCACATACACGTATCATGATGTTTTGAAAAACACTGATCACATTTTTTATCTTAACAGGAAAACAAAGCTAATTGGAAGGCGTTGTGGGGAAAATTCACCAAAGAAATTGAAGTTCTACAATTGTAGGTTCAGTCTGTGCATGCTTTATCATATTCCAGTGACTTTTCGAATGGTGTTTGTCATTTTGTAATGGCTCTCATTTTTGTCTGCTTAGCTACCAGCATCCTAATATCTTGGAGTTATGGGGCAGCTTTTCAGAGGCAGATCACTTCTGTTTAGTTTATCCGTACCTTCATAACGGATCATTGTTCCACAGGCTTCATGAGGTAAATCATCTGACAGCAGACTGTAACTTGTTTCATCATAGCAATCTAAAGTTGAATTTTTCATAGTGCTTACTCTTGCTTTTGTTACAGGAAGTTCAGAGTTCTCTATCATGGCAGGAAAGGCTGAACATCATCAAAGGCACCGCAAAGGCAATCCACCATCTACACACTGCACAACCGTGCGTGGTTATTTGTGGAAACATTACGAGGTGCCAGTGTGAAGCCAAATCTACAGATTTTAGGTGCCCAGTGAAGATGGTGCATTGAAATGAGCTTGTTTTGTGTTGTGTTCACAGTTCAAACATACTCTTGGATGAGCACCTGCAGCCCAAGTTATCAGATTTTGGATTAGCTCATCTCAGACCGCACTCTGTTGATCAGAGCTGCACTATCGTCCTGGATACAGCCTCCCATAGCAACCTTGGCTATCTCCCAGAGGAGTACATCCGCGATGGCAAGCTATCAATCAAACTTGACGTTTATAGCCTTGGGATGGTGAGTGCAGCATCCTGTTTAAAAAAATGATATTCCAGAGCCAGGTACAATTTGCACAAATAAAGCTTTATGTCAGCATTTTAATGTCAATGATTCAATTCATTGATTCAGTTCAGTTCAAGCTGCAGATTACTGGCCATTAAAATTTCTTTATCATTTATTACTGGCCTGTCATGACTGGCCCAACATAATTCAAGTTCTATTTTTTTATTAAATTTCTTTACATTTTCTTTTTATGCTTGAAGGTTATATTAGAGACCTGTACAGGACAAAAGGTGAAACAGGAGTCAGCAAAAAATCTGTTTTTGGTAAGAATCATCTTAAGGAAAAAAAAAAAGTTTACTTTAGTAACTAGTTTTTTAATTTTTGCTTTTGAAAGCCATACATGCTGTTCTTTCTATCCATCAAATAATGCTAAAAATAATCTGCCACAGTTCCCCACTGAAATATTTTGTGGCAGTACTGTTTTCAAAATTGATATCAAAGTAAAGATTTTACTCAAGCACCAAATCAGTATTAGAATGATTTCTGAAGGATGGTGTCACACTGAAGAATACAGGAGTAATGATGCTGAAAATTCGGCTTTGTTGTCACAGGAATAAATGACATTTTAAATGTATTAAAATAGAAATTGTTTTTAAAACTACTCGTTTTAAATTGTAATATAATTTAATTATCAATATTATCATTATTATTATCATTTATTTTCATTTGTATTTTGTAATTTCATTAATATTTGTGAAATTTTGAGTTCTGTGAATCTGTTAATATGATTCATATTTTAGATTAATATAATTGACTGACTAATGCCATTGCATTTTTTTTAGAGAGATGTACTGCATTCAGAGTTTGAGGAAAAAAGCTCTGTGGATGCCTGTCTGCGGTTTTTAGATCCCAAAGTTGAGCACTGGCCTACTGCGGTGGCACTTTGTCTGCTCCGAATCGGACTAGAGTGCACAGGCAGCAAAATGCGAGTCAGGCCGAGCATGGAAATGGTTAGTAAATATTCTCATTTATGTAAACATATACACATATCAACTGATATAAACTGTATTTTATTCCTCTTCAGGTGCTTCAGAGACTAAACCAACTTCTGCCCATGCCTGCACTGCCTGAGGACCAGCCACACACTCTAGATGATACGATCCCTCTTCAGCGGCCATATAATGGCCTTAGTCAGCGTCTAAGCTTCCCCATTGAATTTGATGAAATGTACAGCCCACTGGAGGAACCGCTACCTCCCAGAGTTCCCAATCTGGCAGAGCCCTGCGAGTGCAGCCAGTCTGAGGTCACTTTCTTGAGTGTTGGAGATCCCAACTTGTCGCATTCCCTCAGGGAATGTCTTCAGGAAAATGACAGAGTGGTTTCAGCATCACAAAGTCTGCAGTCAGACTCTGCAGCTTGCCTGGACTTATATGGGAACTGGCCAGTGGAGTGCAGCTGTAGCACTGGAACTGAAGTGCTGGGATGTGAGGACTGCTGTGCGAATGGCTTCAGTCAGTCTGTTTTATATGTAACTCTAGGCAAGTAGATTCAAGGCAGCATTCACAGCGAAATCTGTCTCGGAAGTGTCAAACTTCATTGTCAGCAGCACAAACTAATTTATGTCCAAGCAGGTTCAGAATTAATATCCAGTATTTTTCTTTTTCAGACGATGATGCCCAGCCCTCTCAGAATAGCATCACGAATCCAGCAAAAGAGAAAATAAAGAATAAAATTAATCTGTACAACCAGGGGTTAATAAAAACTGAAGAACTTCTTTCGCTTAAATCAGAGTGAATCAGCAAGGTTGGACATCTCAATAAAAAAAATAAAAAATCAGCAGTGGGTAGTGTTGATGCTCATTTTGTATAAATGTTTGTTTTTTTCTTCTTTTAAACATATTTGAAGATATTTTAACAGTATTTTTTACATATTTCAAATGAAAGTATTTTAGAAATATACATTAAAAAAAAAAAAAAAAGTGGATGTGGGTGATGTTACATAAAAATCGTTTCTAATATAATATTAAAAATAATATTTTTTTACGCAGACTTACTACTACTGTCACTTTAAGAGGGTGGTGGTCATTTATAGTACATTTTAACGTTACATATTTATAATTCATTAAAAGAGTTATTTTAAAGTCTAAAGATGAGCTGACACCATGTTAAAACATTTCGGTGTCCTCGCTACCTTATAGTGTCTACAAATATCTCAAGATCTCTATGTTTTAGACGACTCTAGCAAGTATAATTAATTTGTGGAAACAAAAGGGGCTTTTGATCTAATTTATGTGCGTACGTATTTTAACCACATGAAAATAATGTACAGTGTTCTTGACAATAAAAGAACCGAAAGAAACCACAATTCGTGTCTAATTTGACCGAGTCTTTTATTTTGGAAAAATGTGATTATTGGGTGGTGCAGCAATATCGTCATCTATAATAACCGCGAAATTAAAATCGAAACCCTCCTTTTCTTTGATTAGAGTTCAGGTTAGAATGTCGCAGCGTGAACTAACGTTAACTGGTTACACTCGATCAGATGATGTCGATTTTCAGTCAAACCAGGATGTAGAAATCGAAAATGAAGAAGAGGAAATAGAGCCTGAATTTCTGGACATGAATGAGGTGAATTGTGTCTCATCTGGGGGGAAAATGTTCAAAACCTCCATGCCAGCGTTAAAAGAAGGTAAGGCAAATATTAATAAACAGACGTACTTTCAAACAGCAAATCACTAAATATACTGTTTAACTCATTTAGTCCTATTTTTTTTTTCTTTCTAATCAAGCAGTTTTGGAAAAGGGAGTAATAATCCATAAATGTGTATTTCTCTTTTTTTTTTCTTTTAAATTGTTTAATGTACCAATACTTTGAAGTAGAATTTATTTATTTATTTTTTAGTTTTATAACGTGAATGAATCAGTTATTTATCCAAAACCAGGGGCGTTAGCATCTTGGTATGCACGTGCAAATAGGCCCGGGCTGATTGGGGGCCAGCCAAGGGGGACCATAATTAAAATGAGGGAAGGTATTCTTAATTCGTGGCCACAATATATATATATATATATATATATATATATATATATATATATTTCCCATGTAATTTGTGAGGCTCTGTAATTTTAGAAAACTTGAAATCGCATCATATGACCCCTTTAAGTTACGACTGTTATGACTTCACAAGCAGTTTTATTGATGCTTATCGCAACACTGATTGATCGATGAATGGACTTGAAGACTTGAAAACGGGGGGGGAGACACAAGTGTTGTGGGTGAGTAAACGGGTTAATATTGAAAGTAACAATGTTTAGTGATTGTAACGTTAAGAGTTTAAACTGTACACTTTTACAGGTAAAAGTAACTTAAATTTTACGCTGTTACTTGTAAAAGTATGCTGTTTCATCTCACTCCTGAAAGAGGGACTAAACTGTTGAAATTGTGCGCTATTATTTTCTTCTTTTGCAGTGTTATTAGTGGCTGGTAGCAGGACGTACAAGGTCACAGGCCAATTTCACCTTTGTGATCCATGGTGGAAGGTAACCTGCAGAGTTAACCGTGGCAGGCACAGGTTTTTTACCCTCCGCTCCAGCTATCCCTCCTATAGTCTCCGCACCAATCTGAGATCAGAGGGCCGGTCACTTGTATCTCTTTTTCTTAAAGAGTGTGAGGCAGACCCTCTGTTTGTTAACATGTTTATGGAGTGGTTGCCCAATGACACAGACGTGGAGCCTGTCAATGTGCTGGACGTCCTGAAGGATTTTGAAGTTTCAGCACCAGAGCATAAAGCTGTGGCTGAACAGCTCAAATCAAATGTCATTAACTCAGGTTGGACCACACATATCACCTACTTTCATAGCCCTAAAAACAATTTATTTCTTCCATTCAATAATTTCCCGAAGAACCACTCCAACCAATTACAACTAGGCAAAGCAAGAGCTGAATAAACAATGTTTAATGTCCAAAAACAGTGATTCTACAGACAAAAAAATATATATATTCAATTTTTTATTTTATGAAATTATTTAATTAATAATTACATTTAATAATACATTATTTGAAAATGTTATCAAAATAACATTATAAAATATATTTGATTATTTGATCATATTTTAATATTATAAGTATTAATTTGTAGTAAATTAATATCTATTACATTTATTTCAGATGGTTGAAAAGTGTATCTTTAGTTACATTGTCATATGAACATCCAGTCATTGATGATACTGATTTAAGTTTCGTACACTCTAGTTACACAAAACAACTCTTGGTTCATTTCATGCCTGACATGACTGTAAGTAATGAGTAATTAGTTACAGTAAGTGATTTTGAAAATGATTTTACTGTGCTTGTCCTTGTTAATTTTGTCCTAAAACACAGTTGCTTGGACACGTGTGAGAGTTGCCAGCATGTACCCTCAAATCATGAAATACTTCCCAGCATTGCTGCCAGGCCAGTTTATGGAGATAATAAGCAATGGAAAGATGAAAAACACACAGGACACCACTGAAGAAACTCCACAGCAGCAGAGTAACACAGACTTATTGGAGAATCTAGAGAAGTTAATTGAGAATAATGTTTGGAAGTTGGGCTTCAGCTATGTAAGCGTATAGCTGTAATTATTTTGTTATTGTACATTTCTTTGCATCTTTAACATCCTAGAGCTTTCAAGCTTCACTCACCTTGGCACAATCCTTCAGTCTGTTCAGTCTAGTCTGTCGGTCTATTCAAGGGCTTTCTTTCTCTAGTCTTTTGCTATTGCTGAAACATTTTTAATTTTATCCATTGTTTGATATCTTTTTGATTTGGCTGGTACTTCAGTGTTATCATATTTTCAACAGATCATGTTTAAAGAATTCCATATGATCAGATGTGAAGCAAAGATGAAGTCCTTTGAGCTTTGTAATTTGCTCAGAAGAATCCCAGAGGTGCAGCAAAATGCCTTGCAATTGTATGAGAAACTGAAACACTACTGCAGAGAAACTGGAAGCACATACATTGAACAGAAGATGCTGCTGTAGAAGATGCAACAGTGGAAAATTGCATTTGAAGGGGCCTTGTTCCTAAACGAGCAAGGGGTGCTGATAAAGGAGAACAACAAGGTGGCACTTCACAACCTCTTCAGCTATGAAATAGACATTGCTGAATGCTTGAGGGCCCTGGTTGAGGGAGACCGCTGGAAGATCCACTTGGATGTGAGGAAAGTTCTTCAAAGAGCTGCGATGGAGAGACTAACGGGGAAGGCTTGTGACGCAAGAACATCGACCTCAGAACAAAATGACATGGAGCAGGGGGTTGGGTGCAAGCAAAAAGATGAAGCTCAGCCAGGTTCCTCAAGCATGGACCACAATGGAGGAATGGCATCCCACTGCGTTTCTCCCCAGTCCCCAGTTTCTGAGACCATCATAAAAGGAGACGACTCATATTTTGACTCAAATGACTCCACCTACTCTGACATTGATCCCTCTACTACAGAGCTAGACCCTGATCAAGTGCGAGCAGCAGAAATTATGTGTGCCAACCCGGTGACTGTGATCAGTGGGAAGGGTGGTTGTGGGAAGACCACATTGGTCAGCCTGGTGTTTAAGGCAGCCGTGCAGAAACAGACCAGCAAGAGTGACAGTGATGAAGAGCCTCCTGTAGAGGTTCTCCTTACTGCTCCTACAGGAAGAGCTGCTTCACTTCTTACTAAGAGAACCGGTTTCACTGCTTATACCGTGCACCAGGTATTGCCAAATTATACAGTATCCAGTACAGACAAATAACATGGATACAATGGACTCCTGCATGATGTTCCTCCTTGTTAATTTGTCTTCTTTGTTCAGGTTTTATGGAGTTTCATGAATGCAAAAAAGGATCAAAGTGGAAATCCACAAGAATGGATGTTCTCGAAGGTGCGGGTGCTGGTGGTGGACGAGGGAAGCCTGGTGTCTGTTCAGATCCTTCACTCCATTCTCAGCATGCTTACCAAACACTCAAAACTCCAGAAGTTCATCATTTTAGGTAAAGGCAAATTGCATGTATGACAGATGATAGAAATAAACAGCTACTGAACTTTATTCATTTGTTTTATGTCTGCAGGAGATGTGCGGCAACTGCCCAGCATCGAGCCTGGAAGCACGCTGTGCGATCTGTTTGAAGGACTCCAGAAGGTCCGTTGGGCCATTGAGATGCGGACTAACCATCGTGCAGAATCTGAGCTCATGGTCAGAAATGCTGTACTGTGAGCAGATAGTTTGTACTCTGAAACGTTTAATGAGCTTTCCAGAAATTTGTGTATATAGCCTTTCCCAGCTTTGGTTCCTTAGTGGTTTGCAGACTGTTGTGTGTATATGTTTTTATGCAATATGAACAAATGTTAATGCTAATTCTTGTTTAATAACAATGACGATTATTATACAATTATTATACAGGCGGTTTTTGTTATTTCCACAAACTTTCAGCATCACAGAGATGGGTAAAAAAATGTCTTACCATCCACTGGAGTTTGATGCCATTATTAAAATGACAAATCCCTCCACAGTGCCGTCTGACAAAGGGTTCATTTTTGTCCAAATTAGTGAGAAAAATGATGGTAAGTGAGCCGTTTACAACACATTTTTGCATGACATGTTATAATTAGAATGGCATGAAATGTTTTGCACTCAGGTCATATATGCTACATACTGAAGAATTGTGTGTATGTAATTGTTTCCTGATAGATTTATACTTTGTGCCTCAGATGCAAATCTAGTTTCGCCAATTGGAAGAGCTAACGTTGCCAATGAAAGAATTACGAATGAAATTATTTGTTGATTACTGTTGGAAAATGTTAAAGTTGTCTCCGCTCTAATGAGCGAATCTGGAATTGAAATATTTATTTGATGTGCATTGTAAATATGTTTTTGTGCTTAGCTCTCGAGGAAGCCATTCAATTCTTACTCGAGAAAGCTCCTGGACTCAAAGATCATAGATCATCACAGATTGTGGCATTTATGAGGTAAGACCTCATTCAAAGATTTGTAAATACAGGTGCATCTTAATAAATTAGAATGTCGTGGAAAAGTTCATTTATTTCAGTAATTCAACTAAAATTGTGAAACTCGTGTATTAAATAAATTCAATGCACACAGACTGAAGTAGTTTAAGTCTTTGGTTCTTTTAATTGTGATGATTTTGGCTCACATTTAACAAAAACCCACCAATTCACTATCTCAACAAATTAGAATATGGTGACATGCCAATCAGCAAATCAACTCAAAACACCTGCAAAGGTTTCCTGAGCCTTCAAAATGGTCTCTCAGTTTGGTTCACTAGGCTACACAATCATGGGGAAGACTGCAGATCTGACAGTTGTCCAGAAGACAATCATTGACACTACTTTCCAGAAGGCCAACAATTCACTAAAAATGTTTTAGTTGAATTTAATGTTTAAACATGTTGAATACTTATGAAGTGTTCTAATTTGTTGAGATAGTGAATTGGTGGGTTTTTGTTAAATGTGAGCCAAAATCATCACAATTAAAAGAACCAAAGACTTAAACTACTTCAGTCTGTGTGCACTGAATTTATTTAATACACGAGTTTCACAATTTGAGTTGAATTACTGAAATAAATGAACTTTTCCACGACATTCTAATTTATTGAGATGCACCTGTATAGTGATATTGAGGTTAAGATATTGAGGAAATCTTAAATCACATTAGACAGAGAGAATTAATTATTACATTTAATTCATCTTTGTTGCTCAAAGGGAAACATAAAACTTGGAAACAACCATATGTAAACAGTATGTTGCTCACTGATGAGGATTTTTAACACTGATCATCACTGCTCCAATTTTAAACACCCAATTTGGCTCACTTTGTTATTGCCTACAACTAAAAAACTTGCATCACAACTAAATGTAATCAGGCCCCAAATGAGTGAGCTGTATGGTAACCTAGAATTATTGCTTTTGCTTACAGGAAGGACTGTCAGGAGATCAATGAGCTTTGCTGCAATCATTATTCGCGTCATTCTTCAATGTGAGTAAAAACCTAATACTTCCTTAAATCCTTTTATTACCTTCATTTGTTCTCTTTTTAACTGTATGTATTTGATTTCCTTTTAGGACTCCCGAAAAAAAAATTTGTTTTCAAATGGGGGATAAAGTTTGCTGCACAAAGAATGGCTACATCTCAGATAAAGATGATGAGAACATGCAAGAAGAGCCTGCACATGATGCTGCTGGAACTTCCCAAGATATTCCAAGTATCCAAAGAAAAAATGAACGTATGAAAGAGAACAGAGAAAGAATGTGCAACGGGGAAATTTTCTTCATTATAGGGGTGAAGTGTTTTGTGATAAATGTCTTGATTTGATGCTTTATTGTGGTTTTGCAATGCCAAAAAGCCTTTTAATCTGAAATATCTGATATTAAAGTAAACTGACATTTGCTAGGACTCGAACTTGTGAACATTTAGAGCAACTACTTGAATTTGGTTGGTGCATTCTTTATGATATTTTATAACCAATCACAGGATGTAACTGAGGTGGATATGGGAGCAAGACGCAAAACAAGGTACTTGGCTAGATGATAAAAATGGCCGTGTGGTGACTTCTAACTACAGTGAGCTACAGAGAGAGTGTAAACTGCGCCATGCTTGGGCAAGAACCATTCACACCTTTCAGGTATTGAGTTCACACACACTCTTTGACACACTTTGTTCATCAATGGCCCTTTTAAACCCTGTATTAACATCTGTCTTAGCCTCACGCCTAATCATTTGTTTTCTCTCATTTGTTTTCAGGGCTCAGAGGCAGAAACAATTGTGTATGTTCTTGGCAGCTGTGGTGAAAACTGGCAGCATGTATACACTGCAGTGACACGCGGTCAGAAGCGCGTGTATGTAGTGGGTAGAGAGCGTAACCTAAAAACAGCCATCGTGAAAAAGATCACCCCTCGCAACACACGATTGCGAGGCCGTGTCAAGGAGATAGTTGCTCAGCAAGGTCCTAAAGACTCTTTCGCTCAATCTGACTGCAGACAGAGTCATGTGGAGACCCCTGTGAATCATGGGCCTTCACAGTCCACACCAGTGGCCTCAAAGCGGCCTACTCAGTCAGACCCCTGCACTACACAGAGCAAACTTATGAAGGTAACAGAGTAAAACATCTGTAAATAATGAAAAGTACACTGATAATTGCTTTTAACATTCTGTGACCTGCTCTTGCTCTAGCAAACCACTTCAGAAGAGCCTCTGTTAGACAGCGCAAGCCCCAAATCTCACAGCGAGGAGCTTCCTTGAGAAGATTCGCATTCTCACAAGGAACATGTATGCAGTTAATTATGAATTATGATTTTCAATTACAAAGCAGACAGAAAGGGTAGTGGCATCAACCAAAATCTGAGACCACACTGATTCAAGATCTAGTTTAAACCTGGAAATACAAAGATTCAGGAATTTGAAAAGTTTTAAAACAAATATGCTGTAAATTGAACGGAAACTGTTTAAGATTCTGCACTATTTCTAATTCATGTCATTATATAACACGTTTTCTATTTAGTATTGTTAACTTTCTGAAATTAGGTAGCCTTAACAATGTGTTTGTATAATTGGTTGTTATTGACATTAGCAGTGCCAAATATTAATCATGCCATCAATATGCTTTCTGTATTTTTTTTTCTAAAGTTTGAATTATGCCTTATTTCCTTTTTATTATTCATCAAGAAAATATTACAATATCATGTACTTGTTCTCACTTCTGCATCCTCATCTATTCTACTTTTTGACTGTAGACACTAATTGTTTTTGATGGCCTGTTTTGTTTTATTATTACTTTAAGCCTGAAGCGTGTAATGGCATGTGCACGTCTAACGTTTTAACGCAATTATCAATCCATAATGATTAGGAGTAGTTAAAATAATTTCTGCTGATTTCTGTATTAATCAAATCTAAAATACATATTTTATCTACACACTGGTCTTTCACGTAATCTTTGATGATAGTTCTGTTGACGCAGCACGCAAACTGCGTGACTTATATTTTGGTGTGATGTGATTGGCTGTTGTTGACAGTGTTTACAGTCATGGGTCAAGAAATGAACCTCGAACTGCCGAAACCTTCTAACGTTAACTTAACTGACTAGTCAGCACGAGTCGACATGGCGCTGCAGAGTCCCACCGCTGGATTTAAAACCATAACTGGTTACATTTTACTAGAACGTCACGCTGTACAGTCAAACCAAGAAGACGTTTCAGAAAGTGAAGACGAAGAGGAGGGAATACAGCCCGAGTTTCTGGACATGAAAGATGGACTGTGTCTCATCTGGGGGAAACATGTTTAAATCTTCCGTGTCAGCGTCAAAAGAAGGTAGAACAACACATTTACTAACAAACGTTTGTTACTCTGGTTTTGTTTTCGTTTTGTGTTTACAAGGTGAGCAGATTAAACCGTTTTTGCAGCAGTATCACCAACCTAACAAGTAAACATAGTTGTGTATAGAAAATACATAAAACATGTTTACAGTTTACTTTGCTAGACATAACCATGTTTACATTTTTCAGGGTTATTTTACATTGTCATAAGAAACAAAGTATCAACTTTTGCACTTTCGGTGGTAATTTGGGAGAAAAAGTATTCATAAGTTATAATAGCATAACAAATTTTATACTTTTTGTATTTTATATGATATTTTCGCGTGGACTGTTATCTTGTATGACATTTTGTTTTTCACTTTCAAGCATGTTTGCTTAAGTTGTAATTTATTCTCTAAAATTGTTATTATATTTTCCTAAATTGTAAAATAATTTTATTTAAAAGCTATAAAGTTTTATATTTTGAATTACCTGTGAACGCCAAAATGAGTATGGCACATCACTGACCTGCAAGTAGTGATATATTTATTTTTCATTTACATTGTTACAAGTAGCAAAGTAAACCTATTTTGCAAACATAATCATATTTGCAGGTTACATAGCAAAAGAAGCCAGTTATCATATTTAATTTACAGATTGTTGTTAGTAAAAACAACCATGTTTAGTACAATTCACACTGTTATGTCTAATCAGTTTACACCGTTTCAATTAAAATCAACTTATCATTGTGTCTCACAGAAGTGAAGCTTATATGAATCACACACACACACATATATAGTCTTTGTTTAGGGACCTAAATGCTTCATGCATGTCTTATCGTCTTCTTTTGCAGTGCCATTCATGGCTGGTAATAAGATGTACCGGGTTGAGGGCCGTTTTCCCCTCCAGGGTCCCTGGTGGGAAGTAACCTGTACAATTTGCCAAGGCCAGCACAAAAATTTTGTCAAAGGCTTTCCCTCCTACAGGCTCCGCTCTGATCTAGGATCAGAGGGCCGGTCACTTGTGTCTCTTTTTCTTACAGCATGTAAGGCACAACCTGACTTTGTTAACATGTTTATAGAGTGGTTGCCCAATGACAGACATGTGGAGCCTGCCAATGTGCTGGACGTCCTGCAGGATTTTGAAGATTCATCTCCTGAGAATAAAGCTGTGGCTGAACAGCTCAAGTCAAAAGTCAATCACTCAGGTTGGAAAATGTATACCATGTTTGCTTATATAATTTGCATAACACATAAAACAAAGCTGTCTTTGAAGTGATTTTTGGTAGAATATTACATTTTGCAATATGCAATTCGAAAAATATGTTTTATCATAAAACAAAGGCACCGAAGACCCTGGGCACAGCCAGCTCTGAAGTAACTTCCTAGACCTTAATATCTGATACCTAACCTAAACCTTAAATATAAACTTCTGCATGCATATTTAAGTATGAAAAGGTGAAACTGAAGTCATAACCACATCCTTGTTCTTTAAACAGTTTCTTGGACACACGTGAGAGTTGCCAGCTTGTACCCTGAAATCATGAAATACTTACCAACATTGCTGCCAGGCCAGTTTATGGACATAATAAACAAAGGAAGGATAGAACACGTGCCGGAAACTTCCAAAAAAGATGATCCTACTACACAAGAACAGAACAATACAAATGTATTGGCCAAACTTGAGGAGCTCATTAAGACTGATGTTTGGAAGTTGGGCTTCAATTATGTAAGATTGCTTCTTGGGACCCTGGTTGTTTGGTTTTAAATCGTAAGCTCACATTATTTCCTTCACTATTTGGTATTGTTTAATATGAATATATTTCAAACTTTTTCAACAGATCATGTTTAAAGAATTACACCTGATCCGGTGTGAAGCACAAATGGAGGCCTTCAAGCATTGTCATTTATTTTGGAGTATCCCGGTGGTGCAACGTAACGCTTTACTGTTGTATACAGAACTGAAGAGACACTGCAGAGCAACTGGCAGCACATACGCTGACCGCGAGAAGCTGGAGAAGAAGATATCGTGTGAGACGGGACATCAGGGTGCCTGGGAAGCTTTAGGTTTTCTTGTGGAGCAGGGGGTTCTGATAAGAGAGGGCGACAGGGTGGCACTTCGGAACCTCTTTGGCTACGAGAAAGGCATTGCTGAATTCTTAAGGGCCCTGGTTGAGGGAGACCCCTGGAAGATCCACTTGGATGTGAGAGAGGTTCTTCGCGAAGCTCACCTGGATAGATTAAGGGCGAAGGCCCGTGAAAAACACAGTATGACTCGTTTGAGGATATCTAAGGCTGATGCAAAAACATCAGTCTCAGAAGCACAAAATGACATTGTTCAGGAGGTTGGGTTTGAGCAGATAGATCCTGCTTTTGCCCAGCCTGGTACTTTAAGCATGGTCCACAATGGAGGAATGCCAACATGTAATTCTCCTCAGTCCTATGAATTTACAAAGCTCACTATTAAAGAGGAAAGTATAATTTCAGACTCAGACTCCTCAAATGACTCCACCTACTTTGATATTGATCCCTCTACTATAGAGTTAGACCCTGATCAATTGCGAGCAGCAGAAATTATGTGCGCCAACCCGGTGACTGTTATCAGTGGGAAAGGGGGTTGTGGGAAAACCACAGTGGTCAGCCTGGTGTTTAAGGCGGCCATGGAGCAACAGACAAGTGACAGGGAAGAGGTATTGAAGGCCTGTGAGGACTTTCAGAATGACTCTCAGGGCTCCAGTAATGGGCTTCTGTCAGATGTTCACGAGGAGAAAAAAGAAAGTGAAGGGAGTGACAGTGATGAAAAGCCTGTTGAAGTTCTCCTCACTGCTCCTACAGGGAGAGCTGCTTCACTTCTTACCAAGAGAACAGGTTTCACTGCTTATACTATGCACCAGGTATAGTCCGCCTAACCTAACATAACCATGGCCAGACTTACCAGTGGGCTGCAGCCCGTGGGCCCCGCCTTTGCCCGTTTACGTTTGTTTGATTTGTTCGTTATATGCCAGTCAGAATTCAGAAATGATTAGCCGCATTTCCACTGCGCACGCAAGATCTAAACGGGCCAGCCGGGGCTACAGCTTACAACTACGACCTTCGAGGCCACAATCAAACAGCATAAACTGGTATTTATGATTATTTCACAAAGAAGAAGGACACATGTATGGAATCGCGTCTGCACCGATTGGTTTGTTATCACATGGCTACTTTAACCCTTATCCGTCCCTCGGGTCATTTTGACCCAAAACTCATTTTTAAAGATTTTTTAAAAATCAAGCGTTGATCTTTATGGTATGAGACTTTGTTACATTTGTCACACCTGAACCGGGAATACATGAATTTTTTTTTGAGTGAATTCGAGAAATTTAAGTGGGTTCTAAAAAAAAAAAGGATCAAAAGTGTCCCTCGCGGGCCATTTTGACCCGCCACTGGAAAAGCATGGAATTTATGAAAAAACTGCAGATTTTTATTTAATTTTGTCACACTTGAGCATGGAGCGCACAAAAAAAATTGAGTTGATTCGAGGATTCTATGTGGGTGTAATAAAAAAAAGTATTACACCCACAAGTATTACATTCATTTTGACCCGTCCATAGGAATGAATGGAACGTCCGAAAAAAACAGCATTTTTTCATTTATTTTATTTTTTTGACTATACAAAATCTGACACAATCCAGAAAAGATGCATACCCAAACAAAGGGCAGAGACTGCAGAATGTCCTCAATGCACAAAAAACTCACATATCCACACACACAGGCACACACACAAACGCACACATGGCACACACACTCCCATTGAAACACATTATAGCTTGTATGATGTTTCTGCTGGGAAACGACTGTCATTTTGAAAACATTTGTTTGACTTAATATGCTAATTTTCATAAAAATATCCAGAATGTAATGTGAATAAAAATAAAAATCACCAAAAAATAATTTAAAAAACCTGCATAAAAAAATTGAAAAATGGACCAATATAAGCTTTCTGGACCAAAAATAAAATTAGTGTCATTTTTGGCTTTCGGGTCATTTTGACCCGCGAGGGACACTTTTGTTATAGGTTCGGGAGGGACGGATGAGTTAAACAGCTACATTAAGCCTTTAGCCCCAAAGAGCGCACATTTAGAAAGATAATGATAAATTCTCAAATGTTCATACCTCTTTTCTTTACAGAGGATGATTCTATATTACTATAATGTTCCACTAAATTATGCGATCATCTGATGAGTTTTGAGCACTCTCTCTTATCTTACTGCCATTACACATAGTGGGGA